ATGTAAATATGATATTTACAAATAAGTCCCCCATGGCAACTAACTTGCTAATTATGCCTAGACAACTTCAGTTGTCAGTAAACTTGGCTAGTCATTCACCCATAGGCTAATTAATATTTCAGAGAAGGTTTTATATTTTTCTAAAGTTTATTTTATTTTCTGTAAGTCAATAATTGTAGAGTCGTAAGAAAAATACTTTTAGATATTCAAAACACAGTTTTTATCTTTAAAAAATTTATGGGGACATTCTAAGGTCGATGTGCTTAATCAGAGAAAACTTTGTGACATTTTGAATTATATATAAATTTGTATAATTTTTTATTATTTTTAGTATAAAAATATTTTAAAAAATACATTTTTAAAATTTAAAATTTATTGTTATTTTTCTTTAGTGCCACTAACCTTACTTGACTTACCAAACTTTATCTTCTAATTTTTTGAATTTTATTTTAATTTTTATAATTATTAAAATAAAATAGAGTTAAATATTATAGAACTTTGGGGCTTTTAGGGTTAGAGGTGTTCTCTGTCCTTGAAAAAAAAACAGAGGACCTCCCTAATCATATGAGAAAAAACCCCTAAAATTTCATGTCATGGTGATTAATATTTAATTTTTTAGCATTAAAACAAGCACTGAGGTATTTCATTAATTAAAAGTTAAATATAAAATTGTTATTTTTATTTTTTGGTTCATTAAATCCCCCTCTATTAACTAAGCATAGAGGTGTTTTTATTTTATTTTAAAAGTTAAATATAAAATTGTTATTTTTATTTTTTGGATCATTAAATCCCCCTCTATTAACTGAGCATAGAGGTGTTTTTATTTTATTTTTTTTTATTTTTCTACACCAAGTTATGTTTCATTTTTTGTAATTATTTAAATTAAAAAAATACATGATTATCTACTTAACCACGAGACAACCATCTCAACCTCGGCCTCTTCGAAGGCCCACGCGTCGTTCCACAGTTAGTTGCACTTTCCACCTGACTGCCGCATCACCCCGCGGTCCGTGTTCTTTGGACGCATCGATCTATCATCTGAACCAATCCATGCCATCCATTTCGAATACACCAAAATGGGTGACATCCGATCATTATCCCCAAGGGACTATAACCTGAGAATTGTCCATGATTAGAGTCAAGATCTCGCTCGATTCTTAACCAAATTATGTGAGGTTCCTTCTTAAAGCTTCATCTTAGTGAGATGATCACATCTATATGACTAGGTGAGCATGGAGTGTTGATTCTCTTCACAAAAGCCCAAACTAAGGTAAAAATCAAAGTTTGAGTCTATACCTTTGTCCAAGAGGTGAGGCCTCAATTAGATAAGTTGAGAAGCTTTGTTTTAGTCCCATGAACCTTCTCCAAGATTTGCTTTGAGCTTTGGTTGAGCATAGGTGTGACTTCGACTAAAGGGTGAATCAGTTTTGGTCTAACACTACGTTAGAGGCTACAATAAAGGGGGATTTAGAATGAGAAAGTGTTTTTAGAGTGCGGTGAGGCTTTTGAAACAATCAATTTGGCATTCTGGTGAGGTTGAGTTTATGACCGTAAAATTCATGGTTTTTAGTGAAGAAATTAGGGTTTTGAGGTGAGAGACAATGACTAAAAACGATGGGGACGAGCTTCGTATGAGTGTAGGAGTGGTTTGAGAGCAATCCAATAGGGCTTCACAAGGTTTGTGCACACACCAATTTTTGTATTGGAGTTACCTAATTTATAAGCACGGCAATGGAGGAGAGGCAGGACTCCAATTGCTGGTTAGGGGCTGCTTATGTGGAGAGATGACAGGGGCAATGATCTAATAGGGGTGAGCCACATTGGATGGGCTCAATTTTAGGTTTCGCCCTTTGGGTGGCTCTCGGGTTTTATTTTATCGCTGGCCATGGTGGGGTGGTGGAGCTTGGATGGTCACCATCCTACTGAGGAAACTCAGTGATGGAGGATGGTGGAGTCAATGGGCATGTGCCTTGTGTCCAAGGGTTCGATTTAATGGGAAAGGTCTTGGGCTTTGGGTCAACCATGGTAGTAAAGGGGCTTGGCTCAACCCCTATGGTGGCTAGGTCTAATGTCCAAGATATGGGTTGGATTGACAAGTCCCAATCATGGGGATTAGGGCTTAATCATGGGTTTAGGTGAATAATGGGAGTGGTTAAATACTTTTTAAAGGCTCTTTGAAAGGGGGTCCTACTTTAACCATAAGTGTCAAGGTGACTTGCATGAGGCTTATGCGTGGCTTCCCTATGACTTGGATGAAGCCATATGGCTTGCCTAAGGCTCATGCATAGCCTACATGGCTTGCATTAAAGAGGAGGGGTGTAAATTTCAAGCCTAAAATATTTTCATGGGTTTCATGCTTAGCCAATTTAATCATGAAAATTTACACCATATGTTTGATTAAATTTGATGCAGGGGTTGATTTTGTCGTGTGGGCTTTTGTTTTGAATTAATTTGGAATTTATGCTTGGTTTGGTGGGCTTTGGAAATGGGTAATGAGGTGTTGATTTTTGCTCATAATGGGCTTAGTGAAAATTTGAACTTGTCATGATGGAATTTTGGACTTGGGTTTGATGGGTTTGGGTTTTGCATGTGGTATTTAAATTTGGTGGATTTTGGATTTGGGGTGGACTTGAAGCGGATTTGAATATGGACTTGGATTTTGATTAGGGTGAATTTGGTGTATTAGGGTGAATTTTGGTGGATTTGGTGAATTTGGATGTAAATGTATTGAGTGTGGTGTGTAAATGACTATGGTGTATAGTGGAGTGAGTGTGATGAAGTGAATGTGGTGTATAGTAAGTGATATGTGGTGATATAAGGTGTGTATGCGTGTGAAGCTTCTAAGTCAAAGGGGTTTTCCCTATGGCTTCATGATTCTTATAGAAACCCATTCTGAGTCTCAACATGTTGGTCCTAGTCCTCTCAATTAAGCCTTAAAGGTTTGAGACCACACATGTGAGATCACAAAAAAGAGCCAAGAAATAGTTTGAGTTTTAAAAATGGGGTGGGTTCCATCACTAATCCTCTAGAGTCAATAGGAAACTCCTAAGACCATATTTTGAATTTGAGAGGAAAGAAGAAACCTCACCAAAATGAGGTCAACAATATACACAATTATATATCAACCAAGAGTTATTAGAAAGTAATAAGTATAAGATAAATAAATCATAAACTCATTTGTAAAATTCTTTTGACTATGAAAGAATAGTTATTTATTCATGATAATATACTATACATACATAAAACTCCAATATGTCAAGAATACAAACATTAAATTTGTAATATCTAAGTCACATACCGAATCAACTTTCTCACAAGACTTTATAGTTGGAGTTTGTTACCCTTAATCGAAATTAAGAATGCATGCATATACAATATGGTGAGGAAATAATTCAACTAGTTCCATAAGACACAAAAGTTAATGCAAATAAAAGAGAACCATTTGCAAGCTTATAAGTTAATTTATAACCAATGAATAAAGAAAATATATGGCAAGAAAATTATAATAGAATTTATGAACTTAATAGAGTGTGTGTGCTTGATTAAAATCTTATGCACTAAAATATGAAATAAAATTAACAATTGAATACTAAGTCAAATGTAATGATTAAATTCAAGCTTAAAATCATATATTTAATATTCATAGACAAAATGAATAAATCAACACATCTTATGCATGTAAGAAATTTTTTTTTTTACTAGGATGGATAATCTAACAATAAAGATGCATTTGAACATATTGTTGATATATGGTTAAGTGGAAACATTTATTAAGGCTGTCACCATAAGCACATTAGCTGATATTTAAAACACTCAAGCCTTATACTACCATTAATATATAAGGTCATATCTAACCAAAGAAAAAAGAGGAAAGTCTTATCCATCCTTTTTATTATGTAAGCCTTGAATTGACCCAATAACCTGATTACTACCTAAATTTCATTGCATGTATAACTCAGATATAAACAACATTTAATAGCTTACAAAAATTAAATGAAACATCATGACCAAGCAAATTTATAAGTTAATATCATAAATATGTTATTGTATAATGTATAAAATGACTCTAAATAAAAAAATCCCATGAATGCTACAATGTGTGGATCATATATATTGAATGATAAATAAGGCCCCTTGCACTTATATTTAACATGGCAATAAAATGTTAAGATATCTCCACTTAAGATTTTGCACATAGTGAACACTCTCTTTTAATAAAGAATACTTACACATAATTAAAAAACAAAATGAAAATTAAAGATAATCACATAATATCGCATAATTATCAGAATAATATAATATAAAAAGTGGCATAGCCCCAGCACCTTATGCTGCCTGTGCATAGGGTTGAAACTGCTCGTTGTTCGCGAACAACTCGTGTTCGACTGGTTAAGAAGCTCGTGTTCGGCTCGTTCGCTAAGTTAACTAGCCGAACACGAACAACACGAACAAATATTTGTTCGTTCGTGTTCGGCTCGTTTTGGCTCGAAATATTACCAACCAATTATATATATATCTTTAATGAGTAGTATTTTTAAAAAAATTTATTGACTATAAGGCTACAAAGATTTATAATAAATTAAAAGCATTAATTAAGAAAATAGAATAAAAATTATTAAATCAAATTCAAATGATATGACTACGTGATTAGGGTTGTCAAAAAGTCTCTTTGTTGATGAATGGGCCTTTTTGAGCTCCAAATATAGACTAGTCATGTACGAGCTAAGTCCGGGCTCCGTTTACACCCGGCTGCTTAAGAAAATAGAATAAAAATTATTAAACTAGATTCAAATGATATGACTACGTGATTAGGATTGTCTAAACGTCTCTTTGTTCGTGAACGAGCCGAACACGAAGACACTTTTTGAGCTCCAAATATAGATGAGCCATATACGAGCCAAAGTCTGGGCTGGTTCGTGTTCGGCCGTTTACACCCCTACATGTGCAGCATTGCATGCGCAAAAAATTCGAATCTTCTTTCCCGCTTGGAGCTGGCGGCCTAAAAGGAGTTTCCCGCCATTGACTGCCAATTAAGGTCCTCTCCCTATGTCTCTTTCACTTCTCTCTCACAAGTTCATATCAATGGCGCAAAGGCCGAGCTGTTCTTCATCATTCTTCGGTGAACTCAGAACCAGAGAGCTTACTGGATTTAAAGGTAAATGTCATCCCCTTATTCTTTCGTGGCTGGCGGCCTAAAAGGAGTTTCCCGCCATTGACTGCCAATTAAGGTCCTCTCCCTATGTCTCTTTCACTTCTCTCTCACAAGTTCATATCAATGGCGCAAAGGCCGAGCTGTTCTTCATCTTTCTTCGGTGAACTCAGAACCAGAGAGCTTAGTGGATTTAAAGGTAAATGTCATCCCTTTATTCTTTTGTAGAACTTGTTCGGAGTTGATTGTTGTTTGCACTTGTTGCGGTGCTCACCAGTGCGTCAAAGGCCGTATCTTGGCGATCTGTTGTTCGATGCCGGCGAATTTATTATTGAGCATGAAAACAATCCCTCGCCTCCCCTCGCCCTTTCCTTTTGCAAGGTTTCCTAACCGAATTTGATCTCTTAATCAATAACGAGAAATGCGCTGGTTGAAAACCTTATATTTGCTCACTATTTTGATGCAGAACAGTGGAAAATCCCACATTCTTGCGGTTTCAGATGAAGAAGGGTTTGTCAGTTGCTACGATACTAGGAAGCGGCTCCGCAGCCAGCCTGCTTGCTTGGATAAGACTGGTATTGTCTTTATAATTTTGTTCGAAGGATCCAATTTATCTCTCACTGGAATTATTTGAAGGCTTTAGTTTCTGAATTTTCTTGAGACCTTTTTTTTGTCTTTGATCATTGCAGCTGAAGCAAGGGTTTCTGAATGGGTTGCTCATGAAAACGCCATATTCGATATTTGTTGGATTAAGGTATTATAGGCACTTTTTCTTCTTTGAACATCTTCATTTGAATTATTTAGACACACCTAATACATATTAGTGCCGATTTGAAAAGGACAATAACATAAATAGAAGCTTTGATTTTTTTGATTCAAGATGGCTATAACTAGTGAAAGGGGGCGTTATTTGTTCAATGCGATTCACGAATTGCTGGATAAAAAGGCAAACTTTTGTATTTGAATTAAATTGTCACATTCATGTTTGTGGAAATGCCTATTGGAATTAACATGATATATGCACAAACTAATAGCATATAGATTAAGAATTATAAGAAGAGCTCAATATGTACTTCAAGTTGTAAAACATGTATTGAACAACCCAAAATAAAAACAGTAACTTTAAAATAAAACATTAATAAAAAAAGAATTAGAAATCTTATGGCTGTTCATCAGATATTATATGTTGTGAACTAGTTTACTCAACAATAATTCTGATGGGAAAATAATTTGTTACTTGTGGAGGTTCTTAGTAAATTAATTTATTATATTTACAATAAATGATAGAAAGCAAGATTAAAAGGTCTAAAAGCTTTGATAACTTAAAGTAGTGAGACTAGATGCGCATTAAGCGAGTGAGTGGAGAATGTATAAGGAATGTTAAAGCTCTTTACTCCGTATAAGTTAAACAATTATTTGCTTAGCCATTATGTTCACGGAGAAAGACATGGAGGATCTGTTAAAGCCTCCAGCTTGCTTAGAAAGAAATGAGTTGTTGTTTTTTGTATACACGTTTTAAGAAAGGAGTAGATATATAGTTTATTACCCTAAAGATTTTAGAGAACTGATAGGCCTTGAAGTAAATTACTGAGTAGAAAATAATTGATCTTTCAATATATGTGGAAGTGAATGAAGGTTTTTTTTTCTCTTGCTTTTAATAGTTCTCAAATACATCACAAGATTTAGTTAAACAATAGTTTATATCAGTAAAAATAAGAGAGGAACCAATCTATCATCAAGAAATTATGCGAGTATAAATAAATAAGGCATACATTATTTCCAATCCTAAATAAAGCTAAATTAACCAAGATTAAGGCCTCAAAGTTTCAAAGACAAACAATATGCAAATCTGCTGTCTTATAGAAATACAAGAATTACACTAGTTAAATGATAAACATTACACAAGTTGAATAAAAAACATAGATTTAAATAATTTTATAAGATATCCACCTAGATCCTCCGGAAAAAAGCTCTTTTATCTCTCTTGTTCTCTCCCATTTTTATGTTTCTTATGATAGCTAGTTATAGCTCTTAAGCAAATCTCAACTTCTTTTTTCCTTCACTTTTTATATAAGTGTTCAAAATGAAGAATTAAAATTGAAACTTAATTTAAATTTTGATCTAAGCTAGTCTATAATAATAAACTTAATGCAAAACTTCAACTCTATCTCAGCAAAAATTGATGGATAATTTGGTTTTATGTTAAAATTGTTTATTTAATTTTTTATGTTTCTCCTACAATATAAATTAGGCAATATCATCCTAAATATGCCCATCTTTTGGTGTTCCAAATCCAATTATAGAGAGTAGTGTGTATGAATGAGATATAAGACTGTACTTGGGCTAAAATAATATATGGAGTTTTGGACTTGTAAGTTAAAAGAGTATCGTAAATTTGATTCCAAATGAAAAAAAAATGTCCTAGTGAAGGAGTAACAATGGGGATTACTTATTGCTAGGGTATGGAAATTAATCATTACAATTTTCCATTGAAACTTGTAAATTTTGGCCAACCCACCATGTGTATGGAAAACTATGGTTTATAACATAACACATGCAAGAAGTAGACTTCTTAACTTGAGGTTAGGGTTAAGCAATAGCTTGATGATGCTTTTTTTCCTTTTGGATTGACCTTTTATCTTTGAATCACTTGACTTTTTGCCTTTGTTTCTCTTGGTTTTGAGAGATCAGAGATAGAGAATGGGGGCGTCTCACAATTTGAAGTCAAAAAAGGTAGATAGGAATGGGTTGGAGGTAGGGTGACTATGGTTTGTTAGAATTAAGATGCATGTTTTATGATTAATTGAAGATGAAAAGAAGTTATAGTGAACCCTGGTTTTCAACAACTAGGAATCATAAAAAATAATAAAAAAATGATGAAAATCTAGAAGATTGGCATATCAAATAAATTATTTTTCATAAATGAAAATCAGTTTGTTATTTAATTCTAGAATACGTAGAAATATTTGTAAAGTTTGATCATGTTTTGGCTCGCCATTTGATGAGGATCTCGTCGAGTCAAAAAAGATTTGATTTCCATTTATTTAAACAATCTTCTTTCTTCATTCATTTTTGTGGTGTTTGTTTACTGATTATTTCAAAGAAGTTTTCCTTCATGTTTGGTTGACTCTTATTTAATGGTGTAATTTACATTCATTCTCGAACTTTTATTTTTTGCACCTATTTATATATTGATGTTTTACTGGAATGTGTCATAGACTCGTTTTGATTCATGCTTTGATTCTTGTTCGGATTCTTGTCACGAGTTTTATCCTATGCTGAACTCGAACTTGGTTTCAGCTTACATGTGATCTTGCAATTTGATTGGTTCATTTTGATCCTAGAGCTTCTTGAATCATCCAATAATTTAAGTTGGGTCATGAACAATCATTTACCATGCCCACTCTCTGAAAAAAAAAAAACTTGGCTTTGCTTGTTTGCCTGTTTTTCTTTATATTCTATGCTGGGAAAATAGACTAGGTAAAGTAGCCAAGCCATATGATCATGGGAGATCAAAACTTGAAAGATAACATAAAAATTGTTTAAATCCATCTTTGGTATGGACCAGACACTGATTTTTCTGAATTTATGATGGTAGATGAGGTTATCCAATTCATGATAGAGTTCCTAATGAGGGAATGGTGGCCTAGAAGAAATAAGGTAGATTTGCCAAGTAAGAATTACGCTTTGTAGGATTAAAAACTGTTCCTAAACTTAGGTTAATCTTGCAAAATACAACCATTTGATTTTTATATTTGGAAAGTTTATTCTTGTAATATCTCTTTCTTTTCATAGTTATATTTCTACATTGCAGGATGACTCCCACCTCCTTACAGCTTCTGGTGACCAGACTGTAAGTTCAAACTTTAATCAATTATTTATCCTTATCTATTAGAAGTTAAATCCAAGTCCCAAGTCCCTCTATTCTTCTCAGATAAAGATATGGAATGCTGAAAGGAGGAAATGTATTGGGTTGTTGGCAGGGCATACAGGCAGTGTAAAATCAATTTCGTCACACTCATCAAATTCTGGTGGGAGTTCATGGCTATTAAATAGTGCACATGGTTTCCTATATGACCAAATTTGCTAAATTTTAGAACTTTCTATGTTTACATTTCATGCAGACCTTTTTGTTTCCGGTTCTAGGGATGGGTCTTTTGCCATTTGGGATCTTAGGTGCAAGTTTGGTTCCCATGGAGTAGCACGTGTATTGTATGATTATTTACTTTTTCTTCGTTCATTCACATCTTTATTTTTTACTGTTTTATGAACCTTTCCTAATGTAAAAGAATTCTAATTCTTGTATTTCAGGTCTACTTCTATTGTTAAGGAAGCCCATTCATCTTCTCAAGGAAGAAGAACTAGGAGAGTACAGGTATGCTTCTCTGCTTTGTAAACTACCATATATTTCATGTAGTTATATTAGTTATTAGAGCTATCTGTGCTCTTTTAGGCTGATTCAAAGAGCGTTACATGTGTACTTTATCTAAAAGATGATATCTCTATTGCTAGTGCTGGTGCAGTGGACAGGTAATAAAATTTTGGTAAATTTTAGTTATATTTTTTAGCATTCTTAGACTGAGGTGAACTTTTTGGCACCTTCCAACTACTCATTTTGACCTCTTCGTGTTTTTGTTTGATCAATTTTTGGTGCAGTGTTGTAAAGTTTTGGGATAGTCGAAACCTGAAATCATTTATTTCTCAGGCTTGCCCAAACATAAAGTCATTTTCCAAAAAGGTAAGTGAGAATTGTATATCTTTTTGTAAGACTTTCATTGAACTTCACGCATGCCACACATCTTAAGTTTATTATTTTTTTTAAACTTCAATCAATATATCAATTGTTACCAAATTGAAGGAGAAAGTACGACATGGGATTTCCTCACTCTCTCAAGATTCATGTGGTGTTCTTCTCTCTGCCTCTTGCATGGACAACAGGTGCCATTATCTGTCCCTCTTTCATGCGTCACTTTAATCTTCCTCAACATTTGCATTGTATTGTATTTTCCATGTAAGTGTTGAACTTGATTTTAATCACATTGATGTACTAATTCAGGATCTACTTGTATGATGTTTTTCATCTTTCGAAGGGTCCTCAAAAGATCTTCAATGGAAGCAAGATTACATCATTCTATGTCAAGGTAAAAACTAAAAACTAGGCATTTAGCAAACATTTAATACCCTCACATATATGATAACCTTATCCTTGGGAAACTTAAATCTAATTTTGACATACCTCCAAGTCTCCAACCATTATTGTCAAGTAAAAACATTGCTTATTTGGAGATATTTAATTTATGTTAGAGACCTCTTTGATGGATATTCATAAGGAAGGAATTTTCTCTTGAAATTTACTTTTAGTCGAGAGATCCTAAAAAAATTATATAATATCTCTTCATCTCTTTTTTCCTATCAAGATTGGGTAGTTATTTTTTCAAAATTTCATGTTCAAATTATCATTTACAACATCATCATTTTTTTTTATTAAGTTATTAAAATAAAAATAATATTAATCACTTAATATGTGGACCATTAATTACATATGAGAATAAAATTGCAATATTGTCTTAGTCGGTACACATATGAAAAGGATTATCTTTCCCTCATTTTGACATCCCCAAATAAGTAAAATCCTTCGATTTGTTTTTTGGGGTAATAATTTAAAATGTATTTTAGGAATTATTTTAAAGGGAATCATATTTGAAATATACACAATTATGTTAAGGTTTTACTTTATAAGTCTAAGGGAAGGCTCGAATTGTGGATCATGCTTTTTACCATATCCATTAAATTTCTTTTTCTTCTCTAAATCACACCATTTTCTTGCAGCACACCTACTCTAAGCCACATCAATTCATTGTGGATCACTTAAAATTATATAATGTGTAATAATTCCTTGAGAGAAATTTAGTAAATGAGCCATTTATTTAATATTTTTTCAATAACTTTTTTAGTACAAATAATTTTGATTTTTTGTTCCTTTCAGTAATATAATGATTAATGCCAACATTTCTTCTTTTATGGTTAAAAATATGCATTTGTATATAGGTCCAAATTAAACTTATATAAACCATTAATTAGAACACTGTTGATGACAGTAATGACTTTTTTAAATAAGTTCAAATTTTTAAATGAAATTTAAACTCTAAAGGTACAATGTGGCAAAAAAATGATTGAATATAAAATGGTGTTCTTAAGGGCTAAATAGAAGTTAGATTCAAGAATTAATCTAAAAATTCTAATGGCTCAAACTTTTGAACTCATTCATTTTCTTCAATAGGATGTGTTGATCATTCTTCTGAATGAATCACTCTTTTTTTGCAATATATATATATATATATTATAGAAAGAGCAACTCATGACTCCTTACGCGTTAATGTCAAAAAGGCGGTTACAAGAAATCAGTGGGAAAACTAGATTTCCGCTAAAATAAAAAGAATACATAAAGTCCTAGGGGTTCCTTTTTCCTCAATACAACTCCATCCAAAAAAGAGAAAAAGTTGAAACAAAGGGAAATGTAACCAAAATATATATGTATCAAACCAAAACGTATACTCAAAGAAGTGATGTATACCCTCTATGGACATGTATACTAACAGAAGTGAAGGTAATAAAATTTGTAAGCCAATAAACAACATCTCGAGACCAGGAAGCCGCAGCAGGACCCAAAGATTCCAAAACCTGCACTCAAAAAGGCCGAGGAAACAATAAAGAAAGAATTAAATCAAGTAATTAGAATAGAAATAGTGGTTCACATTCCTCCAACCTCCCAACCAGCAATGTCAATCAAATCGGACAATAGCATGTCTTTAGAACATTAGTGAACAGTATCTCAATGCTTAATTTAAAATACATACTATTATAAGAATATGAAATGATAGTAAAACCAATATCTCAATACCAAATGATTAACACAAAATAATCATGGATATTTACTAACATTTTAACATTTGATTCTTTATAAGGATACAAAATGTCAGCAAAACCTTCCTACTTTTTTATCCTTCTTTCTCCCAATTGGCAAGTAGTCAGTATCCCAATGGCCATATTCTTATTAATCTACTAAAATAAACTTGACACTAATCACTTACTAATATGGCCAATTCATTATATGCGAGAAAATATAATTCCAACTTCACTCTCAATTTATCTAGACATAATTTTGTTGAATCTCCAACCTGCACAAAAGCCTATTTTTTTCTCTTTCAGCCATTGTTTTTCTCATGTTGCAGTCAGCCATAAGCCCTGATGGTTCACATATTCTTAGCGGGTCGGGTGATGGAAATGCATACATATGGAGGGTAATTTTGAATCTTATTATGTTGCTTTTGTCTTGCTTTTCGTCATTTTTATAGATTAAAAATTGCTGTAAATCCTTACACCAGGTGAACAAGCCTGAAAGCGTTCCATTCTCACTTAAAGGCCATGAAAAGGAAGTAACTGCAGTAGCTTGGTAGGCCTCAATATTTACATAAATTATGTTAATTGTCTTGCATTTCATTAATAAATTTGTTTCTTCACTAGGTGCTCAACTGAGGTTGGAAAGTTAGCCACTTCGTCAGATGATTACATGGTTGGTTTGCTTAAAATTCCACATTATTTTGATGATAGAGTAAAGTACTAATATAGTCCCCTGAAAATCTACATGAGACTTTTTATTCCCAGAATGTATAAATTTATATCTTGCACCCTGCTTAGAAATGTCTTGCGAATTTCTCTCTTTTATTTATATTCTTTCATTTACAATGGCAAATGTCAGGTTCATGTCTGGAATATCAACAAAGATAGTTGTATCAGTTCAAGATCTCCACTTTCAATGCGAAAGAGAGTTGCTGCAACCCCAAGCAAGATGTGCAGGAAGCTAAACTTAGAAGATTCCGATGACTTCGAAAATGCCTCGTGTGCTTTAAACAAAAAAATGGCAAATTCACCGTCTCCCTTAACTACTAGTGCACAAGGGTACAGCACTCCTGAATCTTTAAAGAAGAGAAAACTTGGGCTGTTTCCGTTCGAAGGACTAGATTTGCAGAAATCCCCAGATCCAGCAGCATCATTTGATAGCCCTTCTTCTGTTCTTAATCTTCCATCCTCTTCTAAAAGGAAAACAATCCGTGATTATTTCTTGAGTTCTCATTTAAGAATCAAAGACCATCTCAGTGACTAGAAAGAAAATTCTATAATCCGGTTATTATAAGGTATGTGAATGATTGGGTGAAAAAAATGATGATTTTCATGGCTTTGTAATGATTGAGGTCTCATTTTTTGATTCATGTAGATTTTATAATTTTGATAATTTGGGTCTGATGATTGAGGTTTATTAATCATTTGGAGGAGTGAAGATGTAATATACAAATAATTGATTGAAAGTATTTTGGGAAGCAATTGCTGACTAGGGGTGTAAACGAGCCGAACACGAGTGAGCCCAGACCAAGCGCACGGTCGCCCCCAGCCAAGTCTTTTGTTCGGCTCGTTTATATTTTGAGCTTAAAAAATGTGTTCGTGTTCGGCTCGTGTCACGAACAAAAAAGTTATTTTGACAATCCTAATCACGTAGTCATAAGATGT